ATTTTTTTTTTTCTTAATTTATAAAATTTTAGAACTCTTAAACTAGTTCAAATCAAGTAGATCTATAAATGCATCAAAACCTTAAAAATAGATGGTCCAGATAATGTCTTACAAGATACACTATTTTGGGACTCAAAATCTATTTTACTTTTCATATTCATACATCGCGATGTCGAGATGAACCATTAGAGGGTTTTTCAAAATCAAAATAACCATTTATGATGGAAAAAGTTTATATATGGTTGCAATCTTAAAATGTAGAATTAAGGTGCCCACTAACTGACAGCTACAATAAATGTCAAATGGCCCAGATTGAATCTGGGTCAATCTAATGACCACGATTGCATTTCGTATTTTAATTTTATGTTTATTTATGCAAATCCAAATCACTTGAAAGATGGAAAATCTATTTTTAAAAAATAGACGAATCTAATAAAAATATCAAAAAATAATTCATAAATATTCATCAGATAAAAATATTTACAAAAATTTTAGAGGTTATTTTGATCATTTTATATTAGATGCATCTTGATGAGAAAAACAGACATTCTAGATTTCATATGAGTTGAATTTGTAGCAAACCAACAAAAATTCAAATACAAAATGAATTAGTTACCGGATTGGCCCATATTTAAGATGTCCCATTGCACTTGTCCTATTCTTCCATCGACCCGAGCTGACAGGAATCGAGAGAGAGAAAGAGTGAGAGAGAGTGAGAGAGAGAGAGAGTATCTCCTTTACCAAAAGCAAAAGTGGAAAACAAAACAAAAGCTAAAGCTCAGGATTGGAAAGAAAGATGCCCGTAACTCTCATTTTGCACACCCATCTTCAAACAAGTACTCTTTCATTGTTTCGAGCCTTCAATTCAAAGGAACTGCAAATTTGGCCTATCCATTTCCAACATGCTAAGTGAAGCATATCACCTATGCTTAATTACCAACTTTTTCTTTTTTCTGTTCTTTTTTTGTTCTTTTGTTCTCTTTGCATTCAAAACCCAACAAATCCCCCAAAAGATCATATAAACCCCACAAAGGGCAAGAACATAGACTCTTTTTGCTTTCAAAAAATAATG